TTTGTTTGGCGGATTTCGATCGAAATGCAGAGTAAGAGTAAATCATTATCAACATTTTACTTCGATTATATATGTAACTTTAACCGAGTCAACGTTGAATATTAGAATTCTCTCTTCGTTTAAATTGTACAGAGAAATTCGAATTTCCAGCAAAATTTATTACATTACTTATAGTTGCCATAGAAACTCCTTGTTTGTTTTTTACGTTCCTGAATTTATGTAAATTCTTTGTACGTACTTAGTCTTTTGTGTATGTGATGTTTTGAGATCTTAACACTCGAAGTTAAAATCCGTATAGTATGCCCGTGCGCCCATGTAATATCCTCTAAAATCCTCTAATATAAAAACAATAATAAAACGATTATAATAAGTACATGGTAATTTAATTGAACTATGTCTTTCTGGTTTCAGTTGTCGCGTTATTAACGTTATTTGCTCCTGACAAAGGATATATGTACAGTAAGTATTTTTTTTTTTTCGCACTGATGTATGTCATATATGCCATATTTTAATAACGTTCTATACGCAAATACGCAATACAAAAATATTCATGGAATACAAGCTGCGCTCATCCACTAGCTGGACACTAACTTCTTTTTTGCCGTCAGGATGCGGAGGTCTATTGATAAAACGAGATGCAGACTTTTTCTATAGAAGTTATAGCTACTACACAACAGCTAACGAATGGTGCAGTTGGAGAATAACAGCGCCCTTTAATAGGGTTGTTAAGTTAACTTTCACAAGCTTCAATTTACCTGTCAGTGAGTTTTCTTGGTTATGCCAAAGCGCCTACCTCTTAGTGTACGATGGTTGGAGTGATTACAGTAATTCAAGAATTGGTAAATACTGCGGGACGCAAAAACCTCCTGTCATCATTTCCACGGGAAGATATCTTTATTTGAAGTTCAGAAGCTATAGTTACTCTTCTCGTAAAGGATTTACTATGACGTATATAGCTGTGTCCCCATATATACAAGGTAATACAAATATTTGCCATCGGTGTAACAGAAACTATACCCAGACCTTCGGTAGGAGAAGTGTCAGTGTTTCACCTGTATAGGTTCAGTGATAATTACTTTTATCGAGATCCGTTTTTTGGACAAAATTGTAATCCCTGATCACYCAATTTGAGTGATTCCATTTATTTTATACATCTGATCACATATCATTTTAAAAGCAATGATCCCGAACCTAGCGGTTGTAATCTCAGTCTTAGATATTTGAGAGCTCTAGCATTATGCACTATTTTGCGCAGACCTACATACATACAACGATAAGAGACAATATGAAAATTTACTCGAATACATTGCAACCTCTTTCTACTCAGACCCTGTGTATTTTTCGTTTAACAGATCCTAGTACGTCAACTCCAGCAAAACAAATTTACAGCAAATGCAGTGTCAAGAACAGTTTTGCAAATAACAACAATATAATACTTAMCTCGTCAAGTGGCTACATCTACAGCCCTGGATACCCGTCTGACTACCCATATCAGATACAGTGCACATGGCAAATCAAAGTACAAAGCGGAAAGAAGATCAAGCTTTACTTTGAATACATGAACATTCGGAGTACTAGTCCATCCTGCGAATATGCCTATCTTCGAATTCATGACGGGTACAATTCAACGAGCACGAAAAAGGGCGACTACTGTGGGACTACTAGCCATACTATCCATTCATCAGGACGGTACCTTTGGTTACGCTTTGCAACCGAGAAAGTCACAAAAACTTCAAAAGGGTTTAAGTTGAGATATACTACCGAGGGTGAAGGCAGTGGTAAGTATTTCAGTTTCTATTTCAGTTTTCGTAATAGCAAACGTAGTTTTTCATTGACTAATCTCGCACAAGTGAATTGAAGACGAGGCCCTGGGAGAGCAAGAGATATTTCCTTTGTTTCCTTTGAGACTCACCTTAGATCGATCCATTTCACCACAATACCCAAGAATAATCATTTAAACTACTTATTATTTTCTGAATAGATGTTTAGCGGATTCGTCGATGTACATTTATTTCAGGTTCAGTCGGTGTGATCGTTGGAATCATCATTGGGATCGCAGTCATCGTTGCTGTCATCGTCATCATAGTGTACTGCGCTAAAAAGAATCGACGAGGAGCAGTTACCACAGGGGCTCCTTCAACGATAAACACCACAACAGTCACCACAGCTCCTCAACCCCAGGGCGTGCCTCTACAGCCTGTTGGTCAAGCCTCTCCTCCTTATCAGAACCCGTACCCACAGAAAGCTGGACAACCCCCTCAAGACTACGCAGGACCACCCCCTCAAGGCTACGCTGGCCCACCCCCTCAAGGCTATGCAGGCCCTCCCCCTCAAGGCTTTGCAGGCCCACCTCCTCAAGGCTACCCTGGCCCACCCCCACAAGGCTACTCTGGCCCACCTCCTCAAGGCTACCCTGGCCCACCTCCTCAAGGCTACGCAGGACCACCTCCTCAAGGCTACGCAGGACCAC